CTAATTGAATTTGCAATTTGCATTGACTGTTCTATTAGTCAATAAGGGAGCTTCTGCCTTTGGGCTGTAGCAACATTCCCAGGGCTGTTGCTACACTTCAAAGGCAAAAGTGCTGTAAGAGAGCATGGGGCCAGTGGGGGACACAAGTAGTCCCTTGCTGGCCCCATACTCCCTGCAGTGGTTCAAAGCGGCAGTGCCACAGGGAGCCCAGGGTCAGCTGGGGAGTCTGATAGAGGCAGCAAGGGGGGGGGGGGGGCGGGGAGCGACTAGTTGACTTGTTCCCATCACTAGTAATGGAGCATCCACCTGACCTTTGGTAATTTACTCAAATGATTAATTACTCTTACTGTTTTTTTGTTTTTTTTTGAAGTTTGTATTGTACCTCTCATTTAGATACTCATCCTTTTTAGTGCCCAACTGCTTCTCTCTCAGTATCAAGAGGATTCCACAAAAATTTGAAACAAGACCATCAATCTATACACTCATAGTAGAGCTTTTCCCAACATATCAGTCTGAAACAGATTATGGCTGGGTATGTGTAGGATATGTCTACATTGCAGTTTACTGCCAGTTCTTTTGTCGTTCATGAGTGTTTAAAAATTCCCCACCCTCTGAATATCTAAAGTTTTGTCACGACAAGTGCAAGTATGAATTCTGCTTTGTCAGTAGGAATGCTCTCCTGCCAACTAAGTGAAAGTCACTCATGAGGGTTAGAAGTATTTTGTTGACAAAAGTGTTGACAGACAGCATTCACGTGCACCAACTTTTAGCAACAAGTCTGTGTTGACACAGCTTTGTTGCTAAAAGCTGCTTAATGTAGACAAGCCTCAGGCCTGGTCTACACTGGGAGTTTAAGTCAAACTTAGCCACAATAGGTTAATTTTCTAAACAATGAGTTTAGACTACCAAGTCCCTTCGATTGACTTTAAAGGCTGTTAAAGTTGATTTCTGTACTTCTGCTTTCATGAGGAGTAACTGCTAAATTTTATCTTGCATGGCCGACTTTCCAGTAGTGCAGACATAGTGCTGTGAAAATAGGTGTTCTTGGCCTCAGAGGTGTTCCACAGTGACTGCTCTGGTCACAACTTTGAACTTTACTTCTCTCCAGGTGAACAGGGAAAGACTCGGGAAAACTTGAATTTTGTTTCCTGTGTGACCAGCATGGTGTGCAGATCTCAGCGTACGTAACACACGTGAGCAGCACACCTGACCATGAGTTCCATGCCTTTGAGCTTCATGACTTCGCAGGATTGCATTTGAGCTCCAGCATGGAGCATGCAGGAAATCCTGGACCTCATTGCTGTGTGGGAAGAGCAATCTGTTCTCTCAGAACTACAAACCAGCAAAAGTAACACACATCTATGCCAAGATCACAAAGGAAATGGAAAAAGGAAACACCAGGGATACCCAGCAGTGCCAAGCGAAAATAAAGGAGCTGAAACAGTTCAATCAGAAGACAAAGGAGACAAGCAGACGGTCTGGAGCATTGCCACAAAAACACTGCTTCTGCGAGCAACTGTGATCTTTGTGAGGGGACCTGACCAGCTTCCCTAGCCAGTCCATGGATTCCTCCCAAGACACTGAGGCAGCAGTGTGGAGGATAGAGTGGAGGAGGAGAATGATCAGCAGGTGAGCGGGACAATAGAGGTCAGAGAGCCAAGAATTTTTTATAATATTGGAAATAATCCTCTTCTCCCAGGACATCTCACAGTTGGGCACTGATCCCAAGGAGGAACTCTTTAATCCTCCTCACAAGGCCTGCCTTATTTCATCCTCCATGGTAGGACACCTTTGAACACCAATCCAAGCAGCAAGTGGTCTAGCATCATTGTAGCATAAGTTCCAGATTTCTGGCCACATTGTCAGCATTTGTTCCCTATCATCTGTATGATTGGAGAAGATGAATATCTTGTCTCACATGGCAATCTGGATGAAGCAAGGGAAGCTATTAGCTGATGTCTCTGCAGTAAACCTCTGTTTTCTCATCCCCAGTGAAGCATGGCTTGAGCTTCTTTGCTGTTCTGCTGACACACCTGGACAACCTCCCCTTTCCTGCCCATTTGCTTCTGTGGAAAAGGAAAGTTGCACTCTCCCAGCAAGCTAGAGGGGAAGCGCTCGACACATGAGCATCACGTGAGCCCTTTTCCTACTCTGCTGTCATGCCCGGAACCCACAGGCTCATGCCTGGACTCTCCTTTACCATGCGTGCCACTGAACTGAGGCTAGGTGCTACCCTAAGAACTTTGAAATGTATCTGCTGCAAAGTGGCTGCCTAAAAACATAACTGAGGCCTTGTACATAACACATCCCTGTTGTCTTTAGACAGACCTTCATTTTATTCTAATAGATTAGGCTTTACACTCTACAGTGTCTCTCTTGTAAAGTCAGCCCTTCACTTTTTGTTACAGCAGTGAGCTTGCAGCACATTCCTCCGGCCCTACCATCTGTCCACCTGGCACAAATTCACAAGCAAAAATGGACTAGGGAAGAGATGTTCAAGAAGCAAAGGCAATCTGCCAACTTGGACAGGGAGTATGTAAATGAATGGAGGAATGCGCTGCTGAAGGTGATGTGAGCATGAGGAAAGGAGAGTTTGCAGGGAATGGGAAGTAGGCACCAGGAGAGTGTGTCATCCATAGTGGATGTGATGGACCGCATGGTGGCCCCTCCAGCCCTTGCAGATCAGTGTTGCCTCCTCCCAGGGGCCCTAGAACACAGGGTAGAGGGGAAAGGGGGAGTCAAGGGCAGCCTCACACTGAACCCCCAGGGATGCATCACGAAGCAAAGGGCTCTCTCTCTATTGTGATCGTTCTCCCCTTGCCCCCAAAGCTCCCACCCTGGACTCCTTTTCTGTCCCTGCTATGTTTCCTCAATAAAAAACACATGATTTCTGAACAATAGTCTCTTTATTATTTGTATTGAAGGAATGTGGGCATTACAGGCAAACACACTGATGCAGGGGCTCTTGTTGAGAGCAACATGAAGGATTCTTAAAACTGGTCATTCATAAAACTATATTTCAAAGCTTCTCTGATTTGCATTGTCCCCCGCTATGCCCTCCTATTGCCCTGGTATCTGGCTGCTCAGAATCCATGCCTCTGCATTCCACCCTGACATACATTTTCCCCCTTGCTTTCACAAATATTATGGAGCACATATATGCCACTGCAATGGGAATGTTGCATTCGCTGAAGTCGAACCTAGTTAAACCTTCCCTTTAAAGCCCCAAAAGAGGATTTTAGCACCATTCTGCACTTGCTTAGCCTTTAGTTGAATTGCTTCTTACTGTGATCCAAGCTGCCTGTGCAGCTTCATGAGCCATAGGAGCAAGGGATAGGCTGGATCACCAGGAATCTTTGTTGGCATTTCAGTGTGTCTGATTATAATTTTCTGGTCTGGTGGGAAAGTTGCAGATTTCCAACGTAATAGTAGGTAAAGATGCTCATGTCATTCACCTTTCTTGACCATCCCACATTGATGACGGTGAAAAATTGGGACCCACCAGCACCATTGAGAAGTACCCCCTTACAGTTTATGTACTACTTGCCAAAGTGGTCAGGTTCCAAGATGGGGATGTGTATTCCATCTGTCACCCTACTACAGGGGAACCCCAGCGTGGCAAAGTCCTCCACATTTCCTGGAGTCACTTGTTGGATCGGACTGCACATTTCCCTGCATAGCAGGCTGCCACCACAAAGGGAATGTTGTGTTTGCTGATGTCTAACCTAGTTAGACCTTCTCTTTAATGCCCAAAAGCACATCAAGAAGTATCCATTGCAGTTTACCCCGCAGTGCATCGCTCTCAAAGTCAACAGTAGCCACCCTACTGGGGATGCGCAACTTTGTACTACATCAAATGTGCACCGTAGGGACATGCACCTTTGACTTTGCAAAATCGGTTGCTTAAAAATCGACCTTACTAAATTCGACCTTCTCTCTGTGTAGACATGGCTTAAGTCTCCTACAGACAGGTGCTGTGAGAAAGATCTATATATCAAAAGCACAAATGAGGTTAAAGTGCTTGTCAACCTGTAGTGTAGCTGGATGTGCCACAGTGAGAAAGATATATGGGGAAAATAGAAAAGAATAAAGTAAGCAAGAATATAAATAAACTAAGCATAAGTATATTGAACTAAACTAAAAAAAAATGTAAAGTGCTATCAAAGTATACATCCAATGACTCTCTACCCTCAACTTTTATATTTCTTTTTACATTGTATGCCCGAGCTTTTTACTCCCTGAATATTATTAGTCTATACATAAGAATGTATGCTTATAAATAAATATTCAGGGAGTGAAACACACTCTTGTCTATCTAAGCTAGGTATACCATGTGCCTCATGTTAGTGTTTGAGCACCTCCTTAGTTGTTGATTTTTATCTTTAACTGTTGCTTCCTCTAATATAAAATACGTCCTGAAAATGTAGATATTGGGAAGTAATCATTAAGGCCTTTTTGCTAGAAAATGTAAAAAGAAAGATTGATTCAGAGTGGTTCACTGTCCTCTTAAGCTATTGGCTTAATAGGACTCTTACAGACTGATTCTTTTTTGCTTTGTAATAATGCTGCTCTAGCTATGCAGTGCCTCAGCTGATGCCTTTCCACTGAAATACAGCAAATATTTAATATCCAAATTGGACATCTTGTCTTCACAGGAGGCAGTATTTGAAGAGAGATTCCTCTCTGGCCCAATCCTAAAATTTAGTGTTGACACAAATTCATTGAAATGCATGAAACAAAGATGAGTCTGGGGTATTAACATATCTGAACTTAGGAACTGTGCAACAGCACAAAAACTGTTATAACTAACTAGAAATGCCAATGTTTAAGCCTTTAATTGTCAATTTAAAATGCCTGATTGAAAGCTAAGAGAAATCTGAACAGGTGAATTAATTTTAGAAGCCAGAATTTTAGGAAAAGTATTAACTTCACTTAGAAAGTTGAACTGGGACATTGTGAAATTGCCATTTTTTAAATAAATGATATTTTCCTTATATTAGTGACAGACTGGATATTAGACAGAGATCCACAAGAAGAGATACTCAAAGCATTCAAATTATTTGATGATGACGACTCAGGTAAAATAAGCTTGAGAAATTTACGTCGTGTTGCTAGAGAACTGGGTGAAAACATGAGTGATGAAGAACTGCGGGCTATGATTGAAGAATTTGATAAAGATGGAGATGGAGAAAGTAAGTATTGGACTGAACAAAACAAAACTCATTTTGCCTAGTTATTTTAATTTGCTTTGTTATTTTTGTCCCATTCTTAACTTAAAATGTGTTCTGATTTGAGAAGTGATTAGAAAGCAGGCAGTGTTTACATTCTTTGTTTGCCTTTTAAATGACATTGCAGAACACATGCTCAGTTGACAAGAAATTAATAGCAGTGATTACTATTATTTATTTAAATTCTGCAAAAACATTTGGAACTTGAAAGTTAAGGTTGGTTCTTTCTTGTTTAAACGTGATTACTGGTAACTCCAGATCAATCTTGGTATATTAGAATTCTAGTTAAGGTGCAGTTGAAATTGGAATTTGAGTCAAACATGGAACTTCATTATGCCACTTGAATTGAACTACATTGTAGTCCTTTCCACACAAATCAAGAAATACTTAACTGAATTGGGAAAATAAATAGACTATGTGAACACATTCTATTATCAGTAGAAAACCAGTAATGGTGGTAGCTAGTTTTCTTCATCATAATGATTGCTACTTTTCTCGGGTACTTTCTTTTGAGAATATCTTTAAATACTATAACTGTAATAAAATACAAAAGTCCTGTGATTTCCTTGAAGTTTAAGTACATTTGGTACTCAAAAATTGCAACTTTGATAGTTCTGTGGGCTGAAATCCTCAAATTATCCTTCTAATAGGTGCTGCACATGAAGTTGTAAATGCAAAGCTTCCCTCTTCCTTGACTTTCTTCCCCACAGCATCTTCACAGTTGACCTCAATGCTTCTTTGAAAAGAAATACAGGACTATGTAGCACTTTAAAGACTAACAAGAAGGTTTATTAGGTGATGAGCTTTCGTGGGCCAGACCCACTTCTTCAGATCAAATAGTGGAAGAAAATAGTCACAACCATATATACCAAAGGATACAATTAAAAAAAATGTATCCTTTTGGTATATATGGTTGTGACTATTTTCTTCCACTATTTGATCTGATTTGGTATATATGGTTGTGACTATTTTCTTCCAGTATTTGATCTGAGGAAGTAGGTCTGGCCCATGAAAGCTCATCATCTAATAAACCATCTTGTTAGTCTTTAAAGTGCTACATAGTCCTGGATTTTGTTTCAGCTACACCATACTAACACGGCTACATTTCTATCACTCTTTGAAAAGAGGATTTTTAAGATTGAGAGAATAATTTAGTCTGCAAGCATATTAAGTCCTTGGCCTTTCTGTCGAAGTTGCCATCAGGGGTACCAGTTGTGATGGTAACTTGTTATGTGGACACGATGTAAATAGGAATTGAATGGAGACCACCAATTTATTTAGTGAAGATTATTGAGTTGTAACTACTTTGGGTCACTGCTGACATTTCTGAATTCAAAACAATGACCTAGCCATGAAAGTCTCCATTTTCTATTATCCACTGAACCATTCATTCTTCTCACTAGATATTCAAGTACAGGCAGTCCCCGGGTTACGTACAAGATAGGGACTGTAGGTTTGTTCTTAAGTTGAATCTGTATGTAAGTCAGAACTGGCATCCAGATTCAGCCGCTGAATCTGGACACCAGTTCTGACTTACATACAGATTCAACTTAAGAACCCCAGGCGTCCCCAAGTCAGCTGCTGAAACTGATCAGCAGCTGATTCCAGGAAGCCCGGGGCAGAGCAACTCTGCCTGGGGCTTCCTGTAGTCAGCGCCGGGCCGGT